GGGTTGGAACCGACTCGATGGCACTTAACAACAACAACAGCAAATATATAATAAATAGAGCCCTGGTATAGTGCTACAGGTTAATGCACTGGACCACCAGGTCAGTTTGAACCGCAAAGTCACCAGCCGCTCCTTGGAAACCTTAAGCAGTCTCACTATGATCTCGATTTGCACTCTACAGCACTTAACAACAACAGTATGTGATAGATAGATAGATAGATAGATAGATAGATAGATAGATAGATAGATAGATAAATAGATAGATAAACATTCCCTGGTCAAGCAAAGGCTAAAGTGCTTGGTTTCCAACTGAAAAATTAAACGTTGGCACCCATCAGGGCTTTTGAAGGAGAAAGACACAAGAGAATTGCTATTCAAAAGATTGTTGCTATTGTTGTTGTTAAGTGTCTTTGAGTTGGTTCGGACACATAGCAACCTTGTACAGGGCTCCTGAGGAGCAGCTGGTGGGTTTATTAAAGTCTAGGCAATGGTATGGGGTAGTTCTACTCTGTCAAATAGGGTACCAATAATTACTGCAACTAATACTTGCTGCTATTATAAAGTGCCGTCATGTTGATTCCAACACATAGTGAACCTGTATAGGGTCTCCAAGGTGTGGCTGATGAGTTTGAATTGCTGACCCTGAAGTTCAAACTGACCTTGTGCTCCAGTGCTTCATCCTACAGTGCCACACCAGGACAGATACAGAAATACGGATACACAAGTGCCCGTATAGAGAAAGTACTTAAAATGAATTTTGTTCAAGGTAGTATTTTCATGAAATCACAAAATTTTACCAACAATATTATTATTTTTACGAGTTCTGGTATGGCGCTGCGTGATAATGCACTGGACCACAAGTTCGGTTTGACTCTCTGGGTCAGATGTCCAAACTCACCAATTGCTCCTCAGAAATCCTATACAGGGTCACTATCAGTCAAAACCAACTTCACAACACTTAACAACAACATCACTAATACTAAAATTTTATCAAAACCCTTCAATCGATATCCTTTAAAATTATCAGTATACATTTCTAAGAAGAAGGAATGTTTACATTTGGAACAAAATCCACAAAATATATTATCTTTATTATTTAGGAAATTTTGATTCAATGAAAACAGTGTTTTATATTTATGATTTCATAATTCTTAAATAATAAAAATGAGAATGCCTTTCTTAACTTGTTGAAAAAATACATTTTGGAACAAGGGATAGATGCACCAATATTTACAGCTATACTGAATTTTCTTATGCTTCTAAAGTAGAAAATGTCTCTTGTTTAATTTAGAAACGCAATTTTATATTTAAGTATCTTTTTAAATGCTCAACATATGCTACCCTTTCTAATTGAAACCACTCAGTGAATAAGCAGATAACTAATATGCAGAAATATTGCACAGGTGATTTAAATAACACAATAAAATATATTTATATTATTCTGTTGAGATGGTAAAATTTTAAAATTTATTCTCCTAAATTGAATCAATAATAAAGGCAGACTGTTTCATCATAATTTGACTGGTTAAGTATATTTGAGTCAATTTCAACTCTGTATAGTGTTCTGGAAATCAGCTGGTAGGTTTGAACTGCCAATCCTGTTGTTGACAGTCTAATGCTTATCCTATAGTGCCACACCAGAAGTCCCATAATTTGACTATATAATTCATTTTAAGAAGAAAAAGTATAAGATTGGTGGAAAGCACCATATGAGAAATACAAATTAAAACAACAATAAAGATAAAAGGCAGATCAACATATTTCTACTAGCTGGTTTTTATTATTGTTATTTTACTCTTCACCTTCATATTACCTTTTTTTAAAATTTTTATCATTGTCACACCACCATTTAATAAACTCAATTCAGCCAGTCATCTATTCTTTGCATCTCAAAGTAGCTCTCAACAGAACAAAACATTAACCCTAGGCTGTTATTATCCTGAAATACTCCATTTTAGTGGCTATATTTTGTCCTTAATGGCAAACTTGTGAACATTTTTATAAAATAGTCCCAGTGAGACTTGCAAAGACACATATTTCATATCCCATGCACAAAACCAATTCACTACCTGGATTAACTTTAATATTCCCATCCAAAAGAACAGCATGTATTAGTCCTTTAAAATGAAACTTTTTGCCTTTATCTATCTAAAAAGGAAAGCAAGCTAGGGGCAAAAAAAAAAAAAAAAGTAGAAATCAATCTTTAAATTCCTCTAACTTGTTCAGTACACAGGTGTGTTTCAATGAACTGCAGCAATTTCAGCTGATTGGGCCACTGACGTCTGTGAAATCACAGAAAGCTCAAAGCTGTAACTTTATTTCCTCAGAATCTGTTATGAATGTATTGCTTTTTTGTGTCACTTTCACCTTTGGGAAAATGGTCCAATATTTAGAGAATAAAAGCACAAAAAAGCTACCAGCTGCGTGCACAAGTGGCATCACATACTTCATTTAGGAATCTAGACAATACAAAGCTAAAAGAAGTAAGATTCATAAAAATGTTAGGAAAATTTACATGCCCCAAAGTATATAAGGGGATGATATCTGAAGCAAGGCAGTCCTGTTGGTGCAGTGGTAAAGCACTCAGCTGCTAACCGAAAGGTTGGTGATTGGAACCCTCCAGCCATTCCCTGGGAGAAAGATGTGGCAGTTTGTTTCCATAAAGATTTAGAGCCTTGGAAACTCTATGGGGATGTTCTAGTAACCATGTAGGACAAAGCAGAACTTCTCTGTAGGTTCACAATGAGTCAGAATTAACTCAACAGGAGAGATTTTTGTGGTTGTGTTTTGAAAGCAATAAATCAGTTGACTGATGTGGTAAGATGGAGGAGTACATTTTAGACACAAGTTTAACTCAATGTGTTCATTATTTTGTCACTTTGAATTGATCACAATATACACAATGCAAGGAAGATTATAAAAGTTCAGAGAAAATGGAATTCAAAGATAATAAAAAAAATCCATGAATTTTTGAGGCCTCTTACATAGAGATTGTTTTATACAAAGAAATTCAGATGGTGAATCAAAAACCTGGTATCTAGTGCTGGCTGAGAAACAAATATGTGGCCTTCAATTGTTACCTAAATCTTTGCACATCTATTTATAAAATGAATAATGTAATTAAATTATATCTAAAATACATTTTTGTTATAATATCGCATGCTATAGATTAAAATATGCCTACTAAAATTATCCTTAATATACATGTTGTTGTTGTTAAGTGCCGTAGAGTCAATTTTGAACCATAGTGACCCTGTATAGGGTTTCAAGGAGTGGCTGGTGAGCTTGAACCACCAACCTCGTAGTTCAAAGTGGCTTTGCAGTCCAGCACATTAACCCACACCAGGACTCCTTAATATACATATGTATATACATACATGTATTTATATACTTATAATATATCATGGAGTCTTAGTAGTATATATCTCTCTGGATAAATCATGGAGTCTTAGTGTCTACATCAATCTGTTGGGTTTTTATTTACTATTATTATTGTTGCTAAATGTCATCGAGTTGCTTCAGACTCATAGTGACCCTCTTTAGGGTTTCTGAGGAACAGCTGGTGGATTTGAACCACCAATCTTGCAGTTCACATCAACCTAGCACTCCAGTGCTTATCCTGTAGTGCTAGTGTTAATCTCTTGTACTTACCCAGAACAGTGAGATAGGCCTTGGAGGTTTTGACAGGCATAGTGAATAAAGAACATGTGTACTGCCCTTCATCGGACAGAGACACGTCACTGACGCTGATACTCAGTTCATGCCAGGAAGCTCGAACCAGCTCGATCCTATTGTCCCTTAAAGCTAGAAAGAGAAAACATTGAAACTGTGAATAACAACATTAGAAGAAGTTAATATTATATATTTAAAAGATAATAAACATTTTCTTTGGCCATAAATCTAAGTCTTATTTCTTGAACAAATTGAAGTTTAATACTATAAAATATTTTATCAGATTATTTAAAATCAAAGCAGAATTAGGTGCTCCTAAATGTTTTCAGAAAGAACTTTTTAATTAAATGATTGCATCTCATACAACACTTCGGATGAAGTAAATTCTGAGGGTGATAAAAAATTTCTTACCACAGAAAATCTTTCATGGAATATTAGTGCCAGGAAAACTTATAAACAAAATGGGTTTGCTTTTATGGAGAGGCAAGTTTGTGAGACTATGCCTGGTGTATGCCTTCCAAGGACCCCACAACAAAAATTAGTATGTTAAAATGTCTCTGGAGTAGATACACCTGTGGAACTTTATTTAAACCAGAGTTGATATTCAGCTGAAAGACACTTTTACAGTACCTGATGTTTAATTTTGCTCTGATTAGTAGGTGCCTCTTCCATACTGTATGTTAAACATCTTAAAAGATGGTTTCTGGTTTAAACCACTTATTATATGACAACATATTTGCTTTCATTGGAGACCTTAACATCTTGTTGAATTATGTTCCAATTCACATAATAAAAAAGTATAAATTTTATTATGTGGCTGGATAATTGCAAGTAGAAATAAACCCATATTTATTAAGAGGCAACTAAAGGGGCACTCTGAAAAACAGAAAGAGGAGGTTATGGACACCAAGAATCTAGAGTAACACAGTAGTTGTTGTTAAGTGCCATCGAGTCAGTACTGACCCATAGTGACCCTGTATAGGGTTTCTAAGGAGGGACTACTGGTGAGCTTGAACGGACGACCTTGAAGTTCAAACCAAAATTGCAATCCAGCACATTAGCCCACAGCGCCACACAAAGATTCCCACACGATAGGTGCTGTTATTGCTGTTTAGTGCAATGGATCCATAGCGACCCTGTATAAGGTTTCCAAGAAGCAGCTGGTGAGCTTGAACCACCGACCTTGCAGTTCAAACGACTTTGCAGTCTGATGCATTAACCCTCAGCACCACATCAGGACTCCAACACAATAGTTGTTCTTGTTATGTGCCGTGGAGTCGGTTCCGATTCATAGTGACCTTGTACAGAGTTTCTGATACCAGAGCAGAAAGCCTCATCTTTCTACTGCGGAACAGCTGATAGTTTCGAACTGCTGACCTTGAAGTTTGCAGCCGGATTCGTAACCACTACGCTACCAGAGATCATCGGATGTCTTAAAACTTATGCAAATTGGTAGACGCAATCCAGCCCGCATATCCAGCCATGCTAACCACAACCTAGCAACAAAAAGTAGTCCCAGAACCATCAAATGTGATTTCCTCTAGGAATACCAGCATTATTTAGTGGCACTGGGAAAATATATGAAGCAAAAATTCCCTGATACTAAGCATAAGGAGGAAGAAATTTCTTTCCCCACCTGACTTGAAGCTTTCCTTCCTCTACTTGAGAACCAGGCGGCTGGACAGTTCTAGCAGGGTGTATTCAGCTTGAACACGAACCCATAAAAACAGCTATTATCTTCCCACATGAGCTAGAGAAACCGTTTCCCTAGCTATAGCCACCATGTGACTTGGTCTGGGGAAGCCCCCTCTGTATTTTCAGTGGCAACAATCGGGGTCAGTGGGAGGGCTTTCAGAAGAAGACAAATCAGACTTACTAAGATTGGCCCCACAAAGGATCAGAACCTCTAATTGTCTTTGCTTGCCTACCCAAGCAAACTAAAGCCTGTGTGCTGCATCTAAACTGGACAACGACCTCCTAGAATGGAAGATTTAAATAGAACCAGAGTCTTCAACGTAATAGGCAAAGTGTCTATGATAAAATTTTAAAACAAATAAGACAATCACACCATCCCCTAAAAACACAAAACACTTGTTTTTCCAAACATCATGAAATTCACAACTTAAATGAGAAAGAACAACCAACCAGATGCAGACACTGAGATGGATCAGATGTTGAAATTATCTGAAAAGGATTTTAAAACAGCCATTATAAAAATGCATAAGAAATTACTAATAATCGTAAAGCAAATGAAAAAAATAGAAAACCCCAACAAAGAAAAAGAAGTTATAAAAAAGAAACAACTGAAGTGATAGAAATTAAAATAAAATTAACTAAAATAAAAATATGTTGGATTGATTCAATGATACAGTGGAGATAGCAGAATAAATCAGAAAAAAAAAATCAATCAATCTGAATAATAAAAAACAGGTGGGAAAAATTGAGCTTCAAGAATCCCTGTGACAATAACAAAAAATGAAACATTTTGTGCCATCAGAGTTGGAGAAGGAGAAGAAAGTAAGGCTGAAAGAACATTCTTAGCGATGATGGCTGACAACTTCTCAAATTTTACAAAAGACAAAATCAGAGTCAAGGAGTTGTACAAAGCCAAAAAGAATAAGCTCAAAGAAACTTATGCTGGTATAAAATTAAACTTCTGAAAACTAAAAAGAAAGAAATATTGCAGGCAGATAGAATCACATATTACCTATATGGAAACACTTATTTGAAAGACACTGGATTTTTTCATCTGAAATAATGGAGGAAAAAGGGAGTGGCACATTTTTAAGTTCTGAGAAAAAAGAACTGTCAGTCCTAAATATTTATCTATTGGAGTATCATAAATTAATGGAAAATAAATAGATTATCAGAAGGAAAATGAATAGAATTGGTCACTAGCTGACAAAGGTTGTTCAAACAAAAGAAATGGTAAAATAAGGCATTATAGAGCATCAAGAAAAATGAAAAAAAAAAACAAGAAAAAAGCAAAATATAAGTAAATACAATAGAATACCACTCTATGAATATATCAAATCATATTTGGTAATTAAAATTAAAATTAAAATACCAATTGGTGCAATGTTCAATGTACCAGGAGGAAAGACTCAAGACAATGGTATTTAAAAAACAATGGGGGCAGAGGTCAATAAGTCTTAATCGAAATGCAGTTTCCAAATTTTAATAGACTATTCTACTAGTAAGGAGCTCTGGTAGCATAGTGGTTATGAATCGGGCTGTGAGCCGCAAGGTCAGCAGCTCGAAACTACCAGCTGTTGCGCAGGAGAAAAATAAGGCTTTCTGCTCCTGTAAAGATTTACAGCCTCAGAAACCCTGTGCAGGGTCGCTATGAATCGGAACCGACTCCACAGCACACAACAACAACAGCAACAACATTCTACTAGTATCAACATAGACACTGTAGGATAAGCACTGGACTGATAACCACAAGGTTGGTGGTTCAAATGCATCAAACACTCCTTGGCAACACTATGCAGGCTCAGAACCAATACGATGGCACTTAAAAAACAAAAAGAAAGAAATTACGACATTTGTTATTGTCAGGTACCATCAACTCAGTTTCATCTCACAGGGAACCTATGTACAACAGAAGGAAACACTCCCTGGTCCTATATGAGTCTCACAATTGTTATGTTTAAGTCCATTGTTGCAGATATTGTGTTGATCCTTCTAGTTGGGAGTCTTCCTCTTTTTTGCTGACCTTCTACTTTACTGAGCATGATGTCCTTTTCCAGAGATTGATCCTTCCTGACAACATGTCTAAAATATGAGAGACCAAATCTTATCCTCCTCACTTTCAAACAGCAATCCAGCCTTATTTCTTCCAAAACAGATTTGTTCATTCTCTGGTAGTCCATGATATAGTCAATATT